ACAACTACCATACCTCCACACTTAGACTATTACAACTCCCATTCCTCCACATTTAGATAAACACGTCCATCTATTACAACTCCCATTCCTCCACATTTAGACTATTACAACTCATTCCTCCATTACAACAACTCCCATTCCTCCACATTTAGATAAACACATCCATCTATTACAACTCCCATTCCTCCACATTTAGACTACATATTTTGCTACAACTTCCTCCACATTTAGGACTATTACAACTCCATACACATTTAGATAAACACATCCATCTATTACAACTACCATACCTCCACATTTAGACTATTACAACTCCCATTCCTCCACATTTAGACTATTACAACTCCCATTCCTCCACATTTAGACTATTACAACTCCCATTCCTCCACATTTAGACTATTACAACTCCCATTCCTCCACATTTAGATAAACACATCCATCTTTTACAACAACCATACTTCCACATTTAGACTATTACAACTACCATACGTCCACATTTAGATAAACACATCCATCTATTACAACTCCATCTATTACAACTCCCATTCCTCCACATTTAGACTATTACAACTCCCATTCCTCCACATTTAGACTATCTATTACAACTCCCATTCCTCCACATTTAGACATTTAATAAACTTCCATTCTATTTTAGACTATTACTCCCATTCCTCCACACATTTAGACTATTACAACTCCCATTCCTCCACATTTAGACTATTACAACTCCCATTCCTCCACATTTAGATAAACACATCCATTTAACTATTACAACTACCATTCCTCCACATTTAGACTATTACAACTCCCATTCCTCCACATTTAGATAAACACATCCATCTATTACAACTCCTCATTCTTCCACATTTAGACTATTACAACTCCCATTCGTCCACATTTAGATAAACACATCCATCTATTACAACAATTCCATCCATCCACATTTTAGACTATTACAACTCCCATTCCTCCACATTTAGACTATTACAACTCCCATTCCTCCACATTTAGATAAACACATCCATCTATTACAACCACCATACCTCCACACACTTAGACCAACTCCCATTCCTCCACATTTAGACTATTACAACTCCCATTCCTCCACATTTAGACTATTACAACTCCCATTCCTCCACATTTAGACTATTACAACTCCCATTCCTCCACATTTAGACTATTACAACTCCCATTCCTCCACATTTAGACATTTAGACTATTACAACTCCCATTCCTCCACATTTAGATAAACACATCCATCTATTACAACTACCATTCCTCCACATTTAGACTATTACAACTACCATTCCTCCACATTTAGACTATTACAACTCCCATTCCTCCACATTTAGACTATTACAACTCCCATTCCTCCACATTTAGACTATTACAACTCCCATTCCTCCACATTTAGATTCCACTACAATTCCCATTCCTCCACACTTTAGACTACACTTATCTATTACAACTCCCATTCCTCCACATTTAGACTATTACAACTCCCATTCCTCCACATTTAGACTATTACAACTCCCATTCTCCACATTTAGATAAACACATCCATCTACCACACAACTACCATACCTCCACACTTTAGACTATTACAACTCCATCTATTCCAACTCCACATTTAGATAAACACGTCCATCTATTACAACTCCCATTCCTCCACATTTAGACTATTACAACTCCCATTCCTCCACATTTAGACTATTACAACTCCCATTCCTCCACATTTAGATAAACACATCCATCTATTACAACTCCCATTCCTCCACATTTAGACTATTACAACTCCCATTCCTCCACATTTAGACTATTACAACTCCCATTCCTCCACATTTAGATAAACACATCCATCTATTACAACAAACCATACTTCCCACATTAGGCAACTACCATACGTCCACATTTAGATAAACACATCCATCTATTACAACCATACGTCCACATTTTAGATAAACACATCCACATTTACTATTACAACTACCATTCTCCACATTTAGACTATTACAACTCCCATTCCTCCACATTTAGATAAACACTTCCATCTATTACAACTCCCATTCCTCCACATTTAGACTATTACAACTCCCATTCCTCCACATTTAGACTATTACAACTCCCATTCCTCCACATTTAGATAAACACATCCATCTATTACAACAACCATACTTCCACATTTAGACTAGTACAAGAACCATACGTCCACATTTAGATAAACACATCCATCTATTACAACTCCCATTCCTCCACATTTAGATTATTACAACTCCCATTCCTCCATATTTAGATAAACACATCCATCTATTACAACTACCGTACTTCCACATTTAGACTATTACAACTCCCATTCCTCCACATTTAGATAAACACATCCATCTATTACAACTCCCATTCCTCCACATTTAGACTATTACAACTCCCATTCCTCCACATTTAGATAAACACATCCATCTATTACAACAACCATACTTCCACATTTAGACTAGTACAAGAACCATACGTCCACATTTCAGATAAACATTTAGATAAACACATCCATCTATATACAACTCCCATTCCTCCACATTTAGACTATTACAACTCCCATTCCTCCACATTTAGATAAACACATCCATCTATTACAACTACCATACTTCCACATTTAGACTATTACAACTCCCATTCCTCCACATTTAGATAAACACATCCATCTATTACAACTCCCATTCCTCCACATTTAGACTATTACAACTCCCATTCCTCCACATTTAGATAAACACATCCATCTATTACAACAACCATACTTCCACATTTAGACTAGTACAAGAACCATACGTCCACATTTAGATAAACACATCCATCTATTACAACTCCCATTCCTCCACATTTAGACTATTACAACTCCCATTCCTCCACATTTAGATAAACACATCCATCTATTACAACTACCATACTTCCACATTTAGACTATTACAACTCCCATTCCTCCACATTTAGATAAACACATCCATCTATTACAACTACCATACCTCCACACTTAGACTATTACAACTCCCATTCCTCCACATTTAGATAAACACGTCCATCTATTACAACTCCCATTCCTCCACGTTTAGAAAAAGACAACCATGTATTACAACAACCATACCTCCACGTTTAGACAAACACATCCATCTATTACAACTACCATACCTCCACATTTAGATAAACACATCCATCTATTACAACTATTATACTTCCACATTTAGACTATTACAACTACCATTCCTCCACGTTTAGAGAAACACATCCATCTATTACAACAACCATACCTTCACGTTTAGACTATTACAAGAACCATTCGTCCACATTTAGACTTTTCCAACTACCATTCCTCCACGTTTAGACAAACACATCGATATATTACAACGGCCATGCCTGCACATCCGTTTCCAACATCCGATAGTGAACTTGACAAATGGTCTCACAATCTATCAAGGGAGTTTCATTTCACGGGTGATATGTTCACGGTGTCAACCCGGCTGTTGTTTTCCTGTGGGTTTGGCGTCGTCATCACATGATAAACTCATTCTGTTTTCAACGTCGGTGAACTAATGCCCCCTGCACCGCGTCTGCAGATGCCATTAGGATTATGTAAGTTTGAATTACTGATAAGGACTTATTAATATCTCCGGGTTTTTTTGCGAAAAGCACGAAAGTCGATCCTGGAAAAGTTTAAATGTTCACTAATGATCCAGAGGGTGAAATGTTTCTCCAGTGAACTGCTTGCACCATGAGACTTGTAACTCTACATGTATAACAAGGTGCATCACAGTTTAGTTCATAATCTATATATGGTAGGACATCGGCTGTAATGCCATCTCCGCCAGGGCCACAGGGAAAAGGTAAAGGTATACATACTGATTATCAGAGACTCACAGGGATTTCCCGAAGGTTCATATAAAGAAATCATCTATGACTGGAAAGACGGTCAACGGAAGATAACTCTATGTTTCATGTCATAGGATATGTCGCTCAGCACAGCAATGCATTTGTTTCCGATTTTATATTTGCTAGTCCTCTCTCCTGATGGCTACCTTTCATCAACGCACCCCCACTAACACAACTACGCTTCAACCATTTCAGAATAATCAGCTTTCCTTGGTGACGTCCGCCAGTGTGAGAATTATATTTGTCCAAGTGCAAAAACGGCAACTGACAGCGTTTAGCGGTAGGGCGAGCTGAGCTAGCTATTGCCAAACAGTACACGTAGCTACTCTGACGTGTACACCTCCCTTAAAACTGAGAATAACAGCACATGTAGCAGACCTCAGCACGCAATCCCCGTCACGGACCTCAGCACGCCACCCCTGTCACCGACTTCAGCACACCACCCCTGTCACCGACATCACCACGCCACCTCTGTCACCAACATCAGCACGAAACTTCTGTCAATGACCTCAGCACGCCATCCCTGTTACCGACCTCTGCACGCCACCCCTGTCACAGACCTCACCACGCCACCCCTGTCACCGACTTCAGCACGCCAACTCTGTCACCGACTTCAGCACGCCACCCCTGTCACCGACCTCTGCACGCCACCCCTGTCACAGACCTCACCACGCCACCCCTGTCACCGACCTCAGCACGCCACCTGTGTCACCGACCTCAGCACGTCACCCCTGTCACAGACCTCAGCATGCCACCTCTGTCACTGACCTCAGCATGCTACCCCTGTCACCAACATCACCACGCCACCCCTGTCACCAACATCACCACGCCACCCCTGTCACCGACCTCACTATGCTACCCCTGTCACCAACCTCAGCACGCCACCCTAGTCACCGACCTCAGCACGCCACCTCTGTAACCGACCTCAGCACGCTACCCCTGTCACCGACCTCAGCACACCACCCCGTCACCGACCTCAGCACGCCACCCTTGTATCCAACATCACCACGCCACCCCTTTCACCGACCTCAGCACGCCATCCTTGTCACCGACCTCAGCAAGCAACACCTGTCACCTACCTTAGCATGAAACCCCTGTCAACAAGATCAACACAACACCCATGTCACTGGCCTCAGCACGCCACCGCTGTCAACGCGTACCGACCTCAACACGCCAACTCTCTCACCGACATCAGCACGCCACCCCTGTCATCTACCTCAGCATGCCACCCCTGTCACCGACCTCAGCACCCCAACTCTGTCACCAACTTCAGCACGCCATCTCTGTCACCGAACTCAGCACGCCAACTCTGTCACCAACATCAGCACGCCACCTCTATCACCGATCTCAGCACGCCACCCCTGTCATCGACCTCAGCACGCCACGCCTGCCACCGACCTCACCACGCAACCTCCGTCACCAACCTCAGCACGCCACCCCTTTCACAGAACTCAGCACGCCAAATCTGTCACCGACTTCAGCACGCCACCTGTGTCACCGACCACAGCACCCCACCTCTGTCACGGACATCAGCATGCCACCTCTATCACCGAACTGAGCACGCCACCCCTGCCACCGGCCTCAGCACTCCACCGCTGTCACAGACTTCAGCACGCCACTTCTCTCACCAACCTCAGCACGCCACCTCTGTAACCAAAATCAGCACGCCACCTCTGTCACCGACATCAGCACCCCACAGCTGTCACCGACATCACCACGCCACCCCTGTCACCAACCGCAGCACGCTTCCGCTGTCACCGACCTCAGGAAGAAACCTCTGTCACCGACCTCAGGAAGCCACCTATGTCACCGACCACAGCACGCCACCCCTTTCACCGACTTCAGCACTGCACCCTGTCACCGACCTCAGCACGCCACCTCTGTCACCGATCTGAGGACGCCACCTCTGTCACCGAACTCAGTATGCCACTTCTGTCACCGAACTCAGTACGCCACCTATATCACCGAATTCAGCACGCCACCTCTGTCACCGACCTCAGCACGCCCCCCTATCACTGACCTCAGCACGCCACCCCTATCACCGACCTCAGCACGCCACCCCTATCACTGACCTCAGCACGGGACCATTGTCACCGACATCAGCACGCCACCCCTGTCATTGACCTCAGCACGCCGCCTCTGTCACCAAGATCACCACTACACCCCTGTCACCGACACTTGAATGGCACCCCGGTTACAGGCCTCTGCAAGCTACACCTGTCACCTACCTTAGCACGAAACCCCTCTTACAAAGATCATCACGACACCCTTGTCACCAAGATTCGCACGACACCCCTGTCACCGCCCGCAGAACGACACACTTGTCACCGACCTCAACAAGTCACCCCTGTAAACAAGACAGCACGCCACCCCCGTCACCGACCTCTGCAAGCCACCCCTGTCATCGACCACTGGACGCCACCCCTGTCACCGACCTCAGCATGCCACCTCTGTCACCGACCTCAGCCCGCCACCCCTGTCACCGACCCCAGAACGCCACTCCTGTCACCGGCCTCAGCAAGCTACACGTGTCTCCTACCTTAGCACGAAACACCTCTCACAAGGAATAACATGACACCCCTGTCACCAAGATCAGCACGACACCCCTGTCAACGGCCTCAACACACCACCCCTGTCACCGACCTCAGCACCCCTCCCCGTCACCAAGATCAGCACGCCAACTCCGTCACCGACCTCACCACGCTACCCCCGTCACCGACCGCAGCACGCGACCCCTGTCACAGACCTCAGGAAGCCACTTCTGTCACCGACCTCAGCACGGCACCCCTGTCACCGACCTCAGCAGGCGACTGCTGTAACCGACTTCAGGAAACCACCTCTGTGTCCGACCTCACGACGATAACCCTGTCACCAACGTCAGCACGCGACCCTTGTCACCGACCTCAGCACGCCACCCTTGTTATGGGCCTCAGCAAGCAAAACCTGTCACCTACCTTAGCACGAAAGCCCTGTCACAATGATCAACACAACACCATTGTCAACAAGATCAGCACACCACCCCTGTCACCGGCCTCCTCACGCCACCCCTGTCACCGACCTCAGCACGCAACCCCTGTCACGGACCTCAGCATGCCACCTCTGTCACCGACCTCAGTATGCCACCTCTGTCACCGACCTCAGCACACAAACCCTGTCACCGACCTGAGCACGACACCCCTGTCACCAAGATCAGCTGCTGTCCCTGTCACCGACCCCAGAACGGCCCTCCTGTCTCTGGACTCAGCAAGCTACACCTGTCACCTACCTTAGCTCGTAACACCTCTCACAAGGAACAATACGACACCCCTGTCACCAAGATCAGCACGACACCCCTGTCAACAGCCTCAACACGCCACCCCTGTCACCGACCTCAGCACCCCACCGCTGTCACCAAGATCAGCATGCCAACTCCGTCACCGACCTCAGCACATTACCCCTGTCACCGACCTCAGCACGCCACGCCCGTCACCGACTTCAGCACGTCACCCCTGTCACCGACTTCAGCACACCACCACTGTCACCGACCTCAGCACGCCATCCCTGTCACCAAGATCAGCACGCTACCCTGCCAACAACATCAGCACGCCACCCCATGTCACCAAGATCAACACAACACCTCTGTCAAAGACCCTTGAACGCGACCTCTGTTACAGGCCTCAGCAAGCTACACCTGTCACCTACCTTAGCACGAAACCCCTGTCACAAGGATCACCACGACACCCCTGTCACCAAGATCAGCACACAAACTCTGTGACCGACTTTACCACGCAACCCCTGTCACCGACCTCAGCACGCGACCGCTGTCACCGACCTCAGCAACCCACCCCTGTCATCGGCATCACCACGCTACCCCTGTCACCAACCTCAGCACACCTTCCTTGTCACTGAGCTCAGCACTCCACCGCTGTCACCTACCTTAGTTAGTCACCCCTGTCACCGACTTCAGCAAGCCACCCCTGTCACCGACTTCAGCACGCCACCTCTGTGACCGACCTTAGCACACCACCTCTGTGACCGACCTCAGAACGCCACCCGTGTCACCGACCTCAACACGCCAACACTGTCACCGACCTCAGCACGCCACCACTGTCACCGACCTGAGCACGCCACCCCTGTCATCGAACTCAGCACGCCACCTCTGTCACAGACCTGAGTACGCGACCCCTGTCAACGACGTCAGCATGCCACCTATGGCACCAACCTCAGCACGACAGCCTTGTCACCGACCTCAGCACGCGACGGTTGTCACCGACCTCAGGAAGCCACCACTGTCAACGACCTCATCACGCTACCCCTGTCACCGACCACAGCATTCCACCCCTGTCAACGACCTCAGCACGCCTACTCTGTCACAGACCTCAGCACGACAACCCTGTCACCGACTTCAGCAGGTCACCACTGTCACCGAATGTAGCACGACACCCCTGTCACCGACCTCAGCACGCAACCCCTGTCACCGACCACAGCACGCGACCGCTGTCACGGACCTCAGCAAGCCACATCTGTCCCCGACCTCACCACGCTACTCCCGTCACCTACCTCAGCATGCTACCCTTGTCACCGACCTCAGCATGACACCCCTGTCACCGACTTCAGCACGCCACCTCTATCACCGACCTCAGCATGCCACCTCTGTCACCTACCTCAGCACCCCACCCCTTTCACCGACCGCAGCACGCCAGCCCTGTCACCGACGTCAGCATGAAACCTCTGTCACCGACCTCAGCACACAGCCCTGTCACCGACCTCAGCACACACCCCTGTCACTAAACTCAGATTCCTACCTCTGTCACCGATCCCAGCACACCCCCGTGTCACCGACCTCAGCATGCCACACTTGTCACCGACTTCAGCATGTCACCTCTCTCACGGACCTGAGCACGCTACCTACATACATACATACATACAAATATTTGTAAAGCGCTTTTTATCAATCTAATTGCTCAAAAGCGCTATCTGAGTCCACTTTATCCATGTGCAGAGGTGAATAGGTGCGTCTTGAGTCCACTTTTAAAATTTGACAGTTCTGTTTCGGAACGAAGGATGGATGGTAAATTGTTCCAGAGGAAGGGTCCTGCTCTAGAGAAAGACCTGTCCCCATATGACTTAGTTCTAGTTTGTGGTATTTCAAGGAGAGACTGGTCCCTTGAGCGGAGTGATCTAGTTGGGTGATATGGTGTAAGGAGATCCGAGAGGTATTTTGGAGCTAGACCGTTTAGACACTTGAAAACAAGGAGCAGGATTTTGTAGTCGATTCTGAAGCAAATTGGAAGCCAATGTAGGGTTTTGAGGGCAGGAGAGATGTGTTCAGTCCTTTTAATTTGACAGATCAATCGCGCGGCTGAATTTTGTGCCTTTTGTAGCCTGTAGAGGACTTGTTTTGGCACACCAGACAGCAAAGAGTTACAATAATCCAAGCGGGATGTTATATATGCTTGAACTAGATCTTGTGCAGATTTCACATCCAAGTATCGACGGATCAAACCAATGTTGCGCAGATGGAAATAACATTGGCGACAGACATTGCGAACATGGGGTTCCATGCTGAGGGCAGAGTCAAAGATTACACCAAGATTGCGAACATGTGGCCGCATTTTTATTGCAGATTCACCGATGTAAAACTGTGGAAGCAGAAGCTTTTTCTGAAGTCGAAGAGGGAGGAACACAATGAGCTCAGTTTTATCATCATTTAATTTAAGATATTTCGATGACATCCAACTCTTGATACAATCAACACATTCTTCTACTCTTGAAAAGGAGAACTTGGTTGAAGATGCGTCAGATGGCTTGAAGGATAAGTAGAATTGCGTGTCATCAGCATAGAAGTCACCGAGCTCAGAAAGCCACCTCTGTCACCGACATCACCACGTCACCCCTGTCACCGACTTCAGCACGCGACCGCTGTCACAACCTCAGCAAGCCACCTCTGTCACCAGCCTCAGCACGCTACCCCTGTCACCGACCTCAGCATGCAACCCCTGTCACCGACCTCAGCACACACCCCTGTCACCAACCTCAGCACGCCATCTCTTTCAACCACCTCAGCACGCCACCTCTGTCACCGACCTCAGCACGCTAGCCCTGTCACCGACCGCAGCACGCCAGCCCTGTCACCGACGTCAGCATGAAACCTCTGTCACCGACCTCAGCACACAGCCCTGTCACCGACCTCAGCACACACCCCTGTCACCAAACTCAGCATCCTACCTCTGTCACCGATACCAGCACACACCCGTGTCACCGAACTCAGCTCGCCATCTCTGTCACCGACCTAAGCACACCCCCATGTCACCAACCTCAGCACGCAACCTCTCTCACCGACTTCAGCAAGCTACCCCTGTTACCGAACTCAACACGCCACCTCTGTCACCCACGTCAGCACGCTAACACTGTCGCCGACATCACCACACTACCTGTCACCGACCTTAGCACGCTACCTCTGTCAACGACCTCACCATGCCACCTCTGTCACCGACCTCAGTAAGCAACCCTTGTCACCGACCTCAGGAAGCCGCCTCTGTCACTGATCTCAGCATGGCACCTCTGTCAACGACCTCAGCACACACCCCTGCCCCCGACCTCTGCACGCCATCTCTGTGACCGACCTCAGCACGCTACCACTGTCGCCGACATCACAATGCTATCCCTGTCACCGACCTAAGCATGCGACCTCTCTCACCGTCCTCAGCACGCTACCCCTATCAACGACCTCACCATGCCACCCCTCTCACCGACATCAGCTTGCCACCCCTTTCACCGACTTCACCACGCAACACCTGTCACCGACCTCAGCATGCAACACTTGTCACCGACTTCAGCATGTCACCTCTGTCACGGAGCTCAGCAAGCCACCTCTGTCACCAACCTCAGCACGCTACCCCTGTCACCGACCTCAGCATGCACCCCTATCACCGACCTCAGCATGGACATCTGTCACCGATCTCAGCACACCCCTGTCACCGAACTCAGCATGCCACCTCTGTCACCGACCTCAGCACACACCCCTGTAACCAACCTCAGCACGCCACCTCTTTCACTGCCCTCAGCAAGCTACCCCTGTCACCGACCTCAACACGCCACCTCTGTCACCGACCTCAGCACACCCCTGTCACCGACCTCAGCACGCCACCTCTGTCACCGAACTCAGCATGCCGCCTCTGCCACCGACCTCAGCACACACCCCTGTCACCAACCTCAGCACGCCACCTCTTTCACTGCCCTCAGCAAGCTACCCCTGTCACCGACCTCAACACGCCACCTCTGTCACCGAACTCAGCATGCCGCCTCTTTCACTGCCCTCAGCAAGCTACCCCTGTCACCGACCTCAACACGCCACCTCTGTCACCGACCTCAGCATGCAACCTCTTTCACTGGCCTCAGCAAGCTACCCATGTTACCAACCTCAACACGCCACCTCTGTTCCTGACCTCAGCTCGCCACCTCTGTCACAGAAATCAGCACGCCACCTCTGTCACCCACGTCAGCACGATAACAATGTCGCCGACATTACCACACTACCCCTGTAACGGACCTCAGCACACGACCTCTGTCACCGACCTCAGCACGCTACCGGTGTCAACGACCTCACGATGCCACCGCTGTCACCGACATCAGCTTGCCACCCCTGTCACCGACTTCAGAACGCTACCCCTGTCCCCGACCTCACCACGCAACACCTGTTACCGACCTCAGCATGCCACAACCTCAGCAAGGCACCTCGGTCACCAACTTCACCACGCTACCCCTGTCACCGACCTCAGCATGCCACCCCTGTCACCGATCTCAGCACACACCCCTGTCACCCAACGCAGCTCGCAATCTCTGTCACCGACCTCAGCATGCCACCTCTCTCACCGACCTCAGCAAGCTACCCCTGTTACCGAACTCAACACGCCACCTCTGTCACCCACGTCAGCACGCTAACACTGTCGCCGACATCACCACACTACACCTGTCACCGACCTTAGCACGCTACCTCAGTCAACGACCTCACCATGCCACCTCTGTCACCGACCTCAGCAAGCCACCCTTGTCACCGACCTCACCATGCCAACTCTGTTACTGACCTCAGCACGCTACCCCCGTCACCGACCTCAGGAAGCCACCTCTGTCACTGACCTCAGCATGGCACCTCTGTCAACGACCTCAGCACACACCCCTGTACCCGACTTCAGCACGCCATCTCTGTGACCGACCTCAGCACGCTACCACTGTCGCCGACATCACCATGCTACCACTGTCGCCGACATCACCACGCTACCCTTGTCACCGACCTCAGCACCAGCCTCTGTCACCGACCTCACCACACGCTACCCCTGTCACCAACCTCAACATGGCACCTCTGTCACCGATCTCAGCACACACCCCTGTCACCGACTTCAGAACGCTACCCCTGTCCCCGACCTCACCACGCAACACCTCTTACCGACCTCAGCATGCCACAACCTCAGCAAGCCACCCCTGTCACCGACCTCAGCATGGCACCTCTGTCACCGATCTCAGCACACACCCCTGTCACCAACCTCAGCACGCTATCTCTTTCAACCACCTCTGTCACCGACCTCAGCACGCCAGCCTTGTCACCGACAGCATGCCACCTTTGTCACCGACCTCAGCACACAGCCCTGTCACCCGACCTCAGCACGCCACCTCTGTCACCGACCTCAGCACGCTACCACTGTCGCCGACATCACCACACTACCCTTGTTACCGACCTCAGCACACGACCTCTGTCACCGACCTCACCTCAGCATGCCATGTCTGTCACCGACCTCAGCACACCACCACTGTTACCAAACTCAGCACGCCAGCCCCGTCACCGACCGCAGGAAGCCACCTATGTCACCTAAATCACAACGCCACACCTGTCACCGACCTCACCACGCTATCCCTGTCATCGAACGCAGCTCGCCACGTCTGTCACCGACATCAGTACACAACCCTGTCACCGACCTCAGAGGTGGGGCGCTGAGGTCGGTGACAGGGGTGGCATGCTGAGGTCGGTGATAGAGGTGTCGTGCTGAGGTCGGTAACAGGGGTGGCGCGCTGAGGTCGGTGACAAGGGTAGCATGCTGAGGTAGGTCACAGGGGTAGCGTGCTGAGGTCAGCACGCCACCACTGTAACCGAACGTAGCACGACACCCCTGTCACCGACCTCAGCACGCGACCCCTGTCACCGACCTCAGCACGCCACCTCTGTCACCGACCTCAGCACGCTACCACTGTCGCAGACATCACAATTCTACCCCTGTCACCAACCTCAGCATGCCACCCCTGTCACGGACCTCAGCATGGCACCTCTGTCACCGATCTCAGCACACACCCCTATCACCCAACGCAGATCGCCATCCCTGTTACTGACCTCAGCATGCCACCCCTGTCACCAACCTCAGCGCGCTATCGCTTTAAACCACC